CTGAAGCCATTAAAATAAGCATGAAAAATCAGGAGGCATGACATTATAGGCTGCATGCATGAATTTCAAGGAATCTAGATAAAGAAGAGGGAAATTAACTGAATCAGTATGTGATAAAATTCTGAAGTTAGGATGGTAATGCTGGCTTCACAAAGAAATATATGTGCTATTTTTTTGGAAAAACCTAGAAAAGAGCATCCATTACAATTTATATTTTTAGCTTAGTTCCCAGTGAATGTTTATGTATTAAACAATAGTCTGATTTGATTTTGTATCATAATTGACATTTGCTTCAAGGTACTTTGGATGTTCTGAAATTGTCATTTTATTGCATTTTAAGAATATTTCCTCTTATCAACCTTCTCCATTATCAAATAAAAATGTTTGAATTTTTGGCCCTCTGTGTAATTGATCTCCAAACCCTGATTTTCATAATTCTAAAATATCTGTACTTAAATAAATCTATTAGAAATCTTCCTGCCAGGTATGCTGAAAAAATTAAGGTATTAGACAATGATTACCTATATATCAAGTAGTAGTATTTTCATAACAAATATACAATATTAACAGTCTCCTTCTCATGATAATATGAACAGTGAAAGAAATTAATCGAATGGTATATTTATAATATAAAAATTAGTGATGTAAGAGTGTATGATCCATTTTCAAAGATGATAGCTGATGATTTTTACCTTGTGGAATTTAGCTCCTTTGCTATCCTTTCCTCACTGAATAAAGTTGTCCTAGACAGCTAGTATAGACATTACAGTAATGATAAGACATGACTTTGAGACTAAACCACAAAAGATAGAGCAATTGCTTATCTTGCTGCTCTCCTGAACCCCAATTAGGCATGTAGCCCTATGGAGATATTCACAGAAAAACAATTAAGATCATCTGACAATAGCTACCACTGGCATGATCTTGCTAGATATGTGAATGGTGTACCTTGTAAGCATGTCCACTAGCCCAAATAATCCCATACATGGCCAGCAGCAGATGGCAGAATCTTCACTGAAACAGTATGGGAGACCTTAAGCCACAACCACCAGGCCGACCTCTTCCTAGGTTTCTGACCAACAGAAATGGTCTGAGATAACAAAAGCTGCTAATTTTGAATTAATTTGTTAATGAGAAATAGATTACAAAAAAACAGCTACAATACTCGGGGATGAACCTGAACTGAACGACTTGTGGATCTAAAATGTGTCCTGATGGAACTTAAAGCTGAGTGCTCTAGGTCAGTTATCTTAAGAGCCTTAAGGTCTCAATTTTGACATCAGTAAATTCAGGACAGTAAATCTTATTTCACAAGGCTCTTAACAATAATTGAGATAGCAGAATTTATAAAGACCTGGAAAGTATTCATTTCTTCACTAAGTATATGTTTCTTTCCTTTGTTTAAATTGTGCTTAGTGTCAGTTTCTTGCTTAGAGGGTTTCAAGCTGATTATTTGTAGCACACAGAAAATGGACTTTACAGGATGCTGAAGAGCTTCAGAAAGAGAAAGAACAAAGGAAGCTCAGAATCAGCCTGAATTTTTTAATTTTTTTTTAAATTTTCATTTAATTATTTTATTTTTTATTTACTTTAAAATGTTTTATTTATGGTTTAAAAATTACTTTTATTATCTTAGCTATTATATACTATTTATTTTATTTCACAAGCATTTATCTAATTAAAATAGAGCTTTGAAGATCTTAAGAGATGAATAATTGCAAACATATCTTTAAATGTTAGCAAAATTATGGTATTAGTTGTTTCTAATCATTCATTTCAACCTCAAGTGTAAAACGACTCAATGGAAAAAAGAAAAAAAAATGTTTTCAAGAGCTTACACAAACCTCCCTCATTTCTGACAGAATTTTGGTCCTGGAAAGGGTCTCTGAAGCATGTTCAATCTGTGCCTGCTATGAGGTCCACCTGATTCCACTTTTTTTTCTTTTTCCTTGTATAAGGGAATTTAGATGTTATAAGTGAATGTTTGTGTGGGAAGTCCCTTATTTTACAAATCAATAATCAACCTGAAATGCCTTTACTTTGGCTATTTCTTGTTGTATCTAAAATTATTTTTTATGCATCTGTAGGACAATCACTTTCACTAGATATCAGAGTAAGTGGATAAAGCCAGGGACTCTGCTTACAGGTTTATATGACTTCTTGATTTTAAATACCAGCTCTGCTACACCTATACCTATATGTGCAAGATATATTAATGCATGCTTCATGTCGGTTTTTCCAAAGATAAAAGAACATCAATAGAATCTAGCTTACACTGGCACCAGTAATGCCAGCCTCTGAGGAGGCTGAGATATGGAAGATTGTAGTTAGAACCCAGCCTGAACAGAAAGGTCTATGAGACTCTGTCTCCAAAATAATAATCATTAAATAGAATTGTAGGCATGGGTCAAGTGGCAGAATTCCATCCCAGTTGAGCAAACAAGCTAAGAAAGAACAAGGCCCAGAACTCAAACCCAGGTACAACTAAAATAAAATAGTATCTATCTTACAGACTGGTTACAAAAATACAGTGGTTTAATGTTTGTTAGCAAATAGGAAAACTGTCAATCTTTTTTTTTTTGATTCAATGATACAAATATTTAAATAACCTAATTTTTATGGTAGATTAATTTGATGTAATAATCATTTCACAATTGGAGTTCTTATTTCTTCTATGTTCTATATATATTTAGCTTTATTGTAATTTTGAAGGAAATAATTTATTCTAGTTATGTTTGAGAATTTGTATTTCTTATTTGAGAATTTATATATTGCTAATGAACTGTGTACTTCACTATGAACTTATGTTTATTTCTTGTAGGTGCTTCTGATTTTTCATAGCTGTTAACTTTTTGGTAGATGTGTATGCATGTTGAAAAGGACATTTTCTTATTGCAAAGTGGTTATAAACTTTGAAAATCTAATAAAAGTTACCATCCACTGCCCCAGTATGCAAAATAATCACTAAAATTCTGATAATGGCCATCAATTGGTTCTTTGCTATAGTTGTCCTAGGTTGAGAAGGTAGTTTAAGGGGTTTATTACAACCTTTTCTGAGAATGGTTAATGAATTTAGAAAAGAAAACAGATATGGAATGGGAAAAAGGAAATGCAGGACATCATAAAGTATTGGCTTTTAACAAAGGAGCTCTCATTTGGCTTAAGAGGAATAATTCTACTTGCCAGTCTTTAAGAAACTAATGTCACAGATTAAAACTGACTTTAAAAAAAGGTAAAATATTCTGAATAATTGTCCTTCAAATTGTGGCTCATGGAGAATCTATTTAAGGCTCTTGTAAAGAAATCTTAACTGAGGCTTCACTGAAATACTATGTTCCTAGAGCTTATTTATTGGAAATCCAAATAAGATTATATTTAGACACAAAGTTCCATCACTTTCAGACGGTTCAGAAGTATTCTTCTTGGTGGTTCTTTTGTGGGGAGGGGGTCCGGTCGTGGGGCTTGAACTCTGAGCCCTGGGCGCTGTCCCTCAGCTCTTCAGCTCAAGGCTAGCGCTCTACCACAAGGCTAGCCACAGCGCCACTTCTGGCTTTTTTCTTTTGGCTTATGTGGTGCTAAGGAATCGAACCCAGGGCCTCTGGTATGCAAGGCAAGTGCTCTACCACTGAGCCACCTTCCCAGCCCTTGGTGTTTTTTAATATACGTAATCATAAATAAAATTTTACCAACTTGGTTTTGGTAATCCAAGAAAGTCTATATTGGCATCTATACTGTTTTGTAAAATGGAATGAGGGAAACTAGATAACAATTAATCTAGGTGTCAGAAGTTAAGAATAGTGGCTCTTCCACACCACCACAAAGGTGCCAGTTAAGCATCCGTAAAAGTTAACAAAAATATGAGAATTATAAATGGAACCATCGAAATTGTGACAGATTGTATTAAAAGGAACTATCTTCCACAAATCACCTTTAATTCCAATTTTACAGGAAAAGGTCTGCTCGTCTCACATCCATTTTCATCCACAGTGGCAGTATTTAAATTCTTTGTGTCACTTTAATAGTTTTCTATTCAGATATTTTGCAGAGATTAGTTATGAGTCATGATCCGAGAATGTGAGATTCATACACATATATTGAGTGGTATGGGATCATCAATATTACCTTTTGGAACTTAAAATTGGTAGTCTCATATGGTTCAACCTAACGTATTCTTGACCATGTTCTTCCCTATTTTGAAGCAAAATTTACAAAATATTTCATAGTATCTCCCCACTCTGCATTACATCTTCCAGTTAACTGACAGAGATCCAGTGCTTCTCTGGTGGCTGTATAAGTGCAGAATGAAGAGGCTTAAATGAGCCAAGTGGCTGAAGGTATGAGAGAAAATGATCTGTCTATGTCTTCCCTTGTTCAATAGCTCTTGCCAAGACCTTTGTGGCCTCTCAAGGACACAATAGCACAGAGATGATGTGAGAGTAGCCCTAAAATCCTCTTGGTTAGTCCTTTAGCTTATGTATTTTAACTCCTTTACAGGCTCTCTAGTGACAGAGTAGCTCAAACACAGTGTCCTATAAAACAAGAAAAAGTATCTTGTAGGCGAGCAAGGCAGGTGATGAGGGTTGAGGCTCATTAAGGAAGCCAGACAGAGACAGCAGTACCTCCTGCTTTTGAAGTGCTCTCCTGGAAGCTGTGTGCCAGTCCTTTAGAGGTGGGTTTACCTCCCAAGTAAACGTGATTGCTAGGGAGAGACTCGGTGTGCCAGTTCAGAAGACAGAGAGAAAGAAATGAAAGGGATCGGCAATGGAGGACTTGCAGGCATTTCTGAGATTATAGAAACCAATGTGGACATTTCTTGGGGATGCTATTAGCTATTCAGCTGCCCACTTGGGCCCCTTTTGAAGGCCTGCTTGTAAGGAGGCTACTGAGAATCATTCAAGGCAGGTTTTTTTTCCTTCCAAAATGGCTTAAAGTAAGTATCTGAAACACAAACACATTAGCTTGAAGTGCTTGAAACACAGTAACGATCACAAAGTCCTTACTTCTTCTCTCCTTTGTACCATTCGAAGGCCGGAGGCGGCACACCTGCACCTTCACATCTTATCAATCCACTACGTCCCGGGGTCACCGTGCCAGATTTAATTTCCTGAATTGTAGGAGCAACTGAAAAAGAAACAAAACAGAAAACCTGGTGGGTAAAGAAAAATAATCTTCAGCAGAAATATAACACACATATATATAACTTTTTTATTCTTTCTATATTCAAAACAATTTATGTCTGATAGACCAATGCATCACATTTTCAGTAGTTTATGCTTCCAACGCAAGGCTAGTCATTTTCAGCTTTATTTTTCAAGTTGGACAATAGATGAATGTTCTCAGGGAGTACAGAGTAAATGCAATACATTTTGGCCTTGCTTCATATTGGAAAAGAATAGCCTGGTGAAAGGAACACTTCATCTGTACTCCAGTCAAACTATACTCCAATAATAGCTCTCATTTATTGAGTGATCACTGGGAACTAGTCACCAAGCTAGGTGTTTTATGGTCTTGGTTTCCTCACAGTAATGCTGGAACATAACAGTGATGTGAAAATTGAAGGTCACAATTAAAATAATTCTTAAAGTCACACAATCTTAAAGAAATACACATATACATGAACATATATACACACAAATATGTATGTGTGTAAGTGTGTGTATATATGTATGTGTGTCTATGTAGAAGGATTTGTATTTGAAGTCAACTGTGTTGACACAGCCTGGGTCCTTTTCACAATTCTGTTTCCCACTGCCTTTTCCTGATATTATCAGTGTAGTGTAGTTTCTAATGTGGGTTGGTCTACCTGAAGTCTGTTCTCCATTTTCACAGATTGAGTGCCCATCCTAAGTGCCCATCTCTCTATTCTTCACCATGAGTCTAACCAGCAATAGCTTTGCCTTCTCTTAGCAGTTTATCTAAGTCACTCAAGCCATACAATTTCTCCCTTGTATTGGGGTTATTTATGGTTGTGACAAACTTCCTACTGAGCTCTTTGATGGCAAGGTAAAATTACTAATAGTATTTTCAGATTCACAGATCAGATCACAGTGCCTAACATAGAGTGCTAGAGTTTTGAAGCTTTTTTTTTTTTTTTGGTAGTGACATACCCATTCTCTTATTCAGCAAATAATAGAGCCTTTGATATGTGCCAGGTATTTATTTCTCAAGACATTACAAGGTCAAATTCTGGATACAATTAGGCATATGTTCCAGATGAGTCGAGACATGAGGAACCAGCCTCTAAATAATGAATACGGAGAATGCCTAGTTAAAATTAAAGAGGCAATAAATGGGATTGGGAATGTGGCTCTGAGATAGAGCATTTGCCTTACTTGATTTAGGCCCTCAGGTATTCTTTCTCTCTGTGTGTGTCTCCTGCCTGCTCTTTCATTCCAGTACTTGAACTTGAACTCAGGGCCTTGCGCTTGCAAAGTAAGAACCCTATTACTCAAGCTACACTCCAGTTGTTTTGTTTAGTTTGTTTTTGCATAGGTTCTCCCATCAACATATCCTCAGGATGGTATGATCCTTCTGTTTTTGCCTTCTTAATAACTAGGATTACAGGTATGTACTATTACACCTGTCTATCACACTACTAATCAGATTTTTTAATAAAAAATAAGTAGCATCTAAAAAGGAACAGGTAAAGGAGGCTTTAGTAGATGTAAGTAACTGGGAAGTTAGTCACAATATCTTTTTTCTGAGATGGGAAAATAGGAAAAAATAACAATTTTGGAGAGAATGTTCAGAATTGGATGCATAACACTTTCCTATATATTTCCTTTTCTATCAAGATTTTTACATCCTATATATTTTATTTATTGATATAGAATTGATATACAGAGGAATTACAGTTACACAAATCAGGTAATAAGTAATGATTACAATTCTTTTTGAACCATGTCTCCGCTGCCCTCACTTTCGTCCAGTTTTCCCTCCTGTCCATAGTGTCTAGTGAGTATCATTGTTGTATTTGTTCTCCCTTGTTCCACATTTTCTGTGTCTCCCCTTACCTCCCAAATACAAACAAGGAAGAAAAAAGGAAAAGAAAACAAAAATCAGCAACAATGTCAATTAAAAACTCTCTCGTTTCCTTTTCTTAGAGCTCATTTCATAACACATTATTTTATATGATCATATGTGCATTGGTGTTGAGCCCTTGTCAACCATTCCTTACATAGCCTCCTTTGGCTTCAATGTGTGAATGTCTAGAGTCCCTCCTCCCCATATCTATAGATATACCTATATCTATATCTATCTATATTACACATATATATACACATATAGTATATATTTTAAAGAACACCATGAGAGTTCAATACAACTGGAAACTTAAAGATACAGATAGGATGTAATTCAGAAATAAGCGTTGAGTTAAAGTCTGCTCTAGGTGTAGTTGAGATTTGTGTGGAAAGCAATAAAAAAGTACAAGGTTTAATATTTTTCAATATGTAGAAAATACAAAAACTATAAACACTTCCAGAGCAGAACATTGTTTTTCTTTTTACATAAAGACCCTAGTAAATTCATCACTTTGAAGTTATAGTAACTGATTTTTTTTATTGTGAAAATACTGTACAGAGGGGTTACAATTACATGAGCAAGGTAATGAGCACATTTCTTATCAAGCATTGTTGCTTCCTCCTTTGTTTCCCCCTCCCATTCCTTCCCATCTCCCCCCTCTCATCCCCCACCCCCCGTGCCAAAGTTGTAAAGTTTATTTTCGACATAACATCTTGTACATCTCATTGGTGAAGTTACAGTAACTGAATTTTTATGTGGTATTCTTTTCTAATTTATGGGTCTAAAAAGCAGCATAGTCATATTTTTTATCAAAGTACTTGCTAATAATGTGGTAAAAAGAATGTTTACAAAAAAGAATGTTTACTAAAATGTTTGAATGAGAAAAAAATTAAATAGTATACATATATACTTCTTTATATTCAAACACACACATACACAATATAAGGGCTCATTTAATGATCTTTAGCTTTCAGTTAAGCAAAATTTCATGCTCATCGCCTCATAGAAACATCTAAACCATACAAAACAGACCCATAAATAAAATCTCACTCATTTCTGTTGTTATAACACTATTTAGCTTACAAGAGGCACAAATAAGATTGTAGCTTCACTATTGTTATTACAGGCTTCCATCTCCCTTTCCTGTCACACTAACAAGTTGTAATCTTTTATGATATGCAACAATTATTGAAGATGAAATAACCATATGCAACAGAAGATCCATCACAAGCTTCTATTGATAACCTGGTTAGTTTAATTACTCTCTTGTTTGTCAAGGGGGCCATGACTCATTACAAACAAAAGCATGAAATCCAGAACATTGCCTGAAAACCCAGGCATAATAAGCTGAAATAAAACTCTAATTCATCATGAAAAGGCTTTTGTACCATATGGTACAAATGTGGCTTGGCATCAGATATTTCACCATAAAGTTAAAGAGACATGATCCTGTTACCCAGGAGTGAATAAGGTAGGACAAGCCACACGAAGACACTCCGAATGCCATATGGAAGTATAGATAAAGTCCAAATTAATGCTAACATTCATGAAATTGTCTATGAGCATTTTGCATGGTAGGGAGTTAAAGGGCTATGAGCTGTGGGGTAATCAATAGGGAGAAGAGACTCTCATGCAGATTTCATTTTGTGGCTATATTCATAATTGGACCTAATGTCTCTATTGATTTTACTTAAGGATATGAAATTGATGTTGTGCATCCATATTACTGTGCATCTTTTGAAAATAACTGAGAAGGAGAGGATTTATTCCTTTATTTTTCACTCCTTCACTAATTTAGAAAATGTTTCTTAGTGACCCATTATTAAAAGTCATAATATTTCTGGCCTCATATATCAGATGAAAGCAATCTGAGAAATGTATAGAGCAGGATAAAGGAAAAAAAGGATCACCAGGTAAATTATTTTAAATGGTGAAGCCACAGAGCTCCTTAATCACAAGGTACTATTTGAGTGGAGAATTAAATGATGTGAGGAAAGAAGTCATAGAGTGAATTGTAGGAATTATTCCAACATTAGGGAATTGGAAATGTATAGACCATAATTGGTAGCTTGTCGGAAGTGGAAACAGGTTGAAATGTAACAGGTTTTTTTAAGATGATAACAAAATTGGTACCATAGCTCAAGCAAGATATGAGAATAGAAAAACTCTAATGGAATGATACTATTTACAGCTGGGGATTTAGTGGCCCATGGTCAAGGCTTTGAATATTATTCTAAAGATAAAGAATCTGAGAGATTTGGGATAAAAGAATGATATTTGACCTAAATTCCATAGAGATTCTTTGGCTTCTCTGGGGAACATGCTCCATAAACACGCAAGAGAAGAAAGAAGCAGGACAATGAGAAGGCTGATGAAATAATCCTTAGGATGATGACAAAGACACCAGGCATTCCAGAGCAAATGCAGAAACTGAGAAAATGAATTGGTTAGATAGACCTGTGGTCACAGTAGACCAAAGTCAATGTGGACTGGATGCTTACTGAAGTCAATATCAACAATCTTTTACTGAAATTCCAAGTGTATACTATTCTGCATGCTATCATTTTGTATAAAAATAAAGATTCTATCATCTAACACAGAAATATCTGATTTTTATACTCAGAGATTTTCAAAGAGTATGTTGTCAATATACATATTATGACTCTTTCTGGACCTTGGGGCTTGAACTCTGAACTTGGGCACTATCCCTGTGTTCTTCAGCTCAAGGTAAATGCTCTACCACTTGAGCCACAGAGCCACTTCTGATTCTCATGGACTTTCCTGCCTGGGCTGGTTTTGAACTGCCATCCTCAGATCTCAGCCTCCTGAGTAGCTAGGATTACAGGCATGAGCCACTGGTGCCCAGCTTGGACCTTTTTTCTTTTATAACAAAGACTTAATTTTATTTACCATGCTAGTTGAACTCAGCTGCTCCAGTTATTCCGAGATACAATTATTCTGTCAAAGATGGGGAAAATTTATCTTTCAGTATTTCAATTTGAACTATTGTAATTAAAATGTGTAGTTATACTATAGAATAAAAGGCCATGAACAAATTTGGGAAATAAAGATATGTATATATTATCCTAATACTCAAG